CACAGCTTTCAGTCCCCAGCAGCAGTGCACGTGGCCGCGGCGCTGGGTGGTCGGAAGGCTCCACAAAGTCGGGTGGGAGGCAGGTGGCGGGCGGGGGTGGGGGAGGTTACAGTGTGGAGGGGTGCAGCAAAAAGGCAAAACGACTCAGGGACGTGGACCACATCGTGGTGACTGCTGGAAGTTGTACCTGGTGAACGTAAAACTTACAATAAAGATTCAAGATTTATTTATTTCTAGACAGGGAAGGGAGGGGGGGAGAGAGAGAGAGAGAGAGAGAAACATCCATGTGCGGTTGCTGGGGGCCGTGGCCTGCAACCCAGGCATGTGCCCTGACTGGGAATTGAACCTGCGACACTTAGGTTCGCAGCCCGCGCTCCATCCACTGAGCTACGCCAGCCAGGGTACAATAAAGATTAAATTTTGCAAAATCACCTGGCTGGTGTTGCTCTCCTCCCTTCTCCCCTTCCCTCCTAACTCTCTTCCTTCTTTCCCTCCCTCTCTTCCTTCTTCCCTCTCTCCCTCTCGGCTGACTTGGCCTCCCAAAATTCAGATTGCGAAACTGTAAATAAAGTCACCCTCTGATTTGTTGAAACGGGGCGATTCCCCACCAAACCGTCAGTGTGGTCTGATTTGCAGTTTGAGAGAATGTAGATCCTCGGCATCGGCTGCGTCAGGCTGGCCACCCTCGCAGGAGAGGGCGTTGCATCATTTAGAAGAGTTTTAGGCAGGGGCACAGTGAGGGCCGGGGAGAGTGTTCCGGGCACCGGAATTGCGGTCCGCTGAGACTTGGGGGTGGTGGTGTGAACTCTCCACTCTGCACATCACCCAGTCTCCCCCCACCCACCCCCACCGGTACACCGCTGATCCGTGAATCTTATGGTGCATAAGTCATGTCTTGGGGTGGGGTGTGGCGAGGAATGGACCAGAAAAGATTGGATCATGTGAAAACCTTCTAGGTCCGTAGCTAGATTTCTAAACATTCAAACACACATTTAAAAAAAGAAAGTGAAGTAGCTCAGAAGCAGAGTGTGTAGGTCCAGGGGCCAGAATGAAAGGGAACCCAAGTTCAAGGATTTCTGGTGACCAGTACCCTAACATATGTTTTCATCATCGATAGATCATGCCTCATAGACACTGCACGGCACGGCTGCTCCTGACACCGCAGCGGAGCTAAATGAATGTCTGACGTGCAAAATAATACTTTTCCCGGGACGTGGTGGATCTGGTGGCTCCTTCTGATTGGGACGCTTCCAGGGACAGGCCCTGGGGCTCCCTCTAGTGGCCGAAAAGAGAACAGACGCGTTCAGCGCTCCAGCTTGAACAATTCATTTCACCCACCGCTGCATGGAACCACTCTCCTCTGTCTCCCGACCTTAGCGTGGTCTTCAGAGTACTTACGAAAATGAGCAGTTACGTGCTTGCATTTTATCTATCTATCTATCTATCTATCTATCTATCTATCTATCTATCTATCTATCTATCTATCTATCTATTTTTAGGGAGGGAAGGGAGAGAGAAAGAGGCCAGCCAGGGTGTGTACCAGAGCTTTTTTTTTGTTTAAATATTTTATTTATTTATTTTTAGAGAAGGAAGGGAGGAAGAGAAAGAGAAAAACATCCATGTGCTGTTGCTGGGGGCCATGGCCTGCAACACAGGCATGTGCCCTGACTGGGAATCGAACCCGCAACACTTTGGTTCGCAGCCCGAGCTCAATCCACTGAGCTATGCCAGCCAGAGTACCAGAGCTTTTTGATCCACTCGTCTCCTGATGGGCCCTTGGGGTGCTTCCTCGTATGTTGGTTATTGTAAACAGCAATGCTATGAACATAAGGGGGTGTGTGTGTGTGTGTACATACATATATATACAGACGTACATGCACAGAGACTCATGCACACCCACACACATACAACACACGATCTACATTACAGTCACTTAGAACCTATTAGAAACACGGATTCGAACCCGATCCCTAGTAGAACCCCCGATTCCCACTGTTGTTCCTTTTTTTGGGGGGGGACCCTGATGTCCTGAGTTCTTATCAGCTGGGAGAATGAAAACCAGTCACTGCTTGCCCTGGCCGGTGTAGCTCAGTGGATTGAGCACGGGCTGCGAACCAAAGTGTTGCGGGTTCGATTCCCAGTTAGGGCACATGCCTGGGTTGCAGGCCACGGCCCCCAGCAACCGCGCATGGATGTTTCTCTCTCTCTCTCTCTTTCTCCCTCCCTTCGCTCTCTGAAAACAAATAAATAAAATCTAAAAAAAAAAAAAACTTAAACAAAAAAACACCAGTCACTGCTTTGATGCCTGTGCATTTGCAAAGGAGAGCTCACCTCTGGGGGGAGGTGAAGAGGAAATGGAAGTGGGGGGGCAGAGTTGGTCCCCAACCTGCTGCATGCAGTCAGCGGAACCGGAAGGAACCGGAATCGAGTGAGGTGCAGGGCTGCAGCGCGCTTCTAGAATGAGCCACTACCACCAGAGGGCGCTGTGCTGGGGAGCAGCGTGCCCTCCGATGCTGCACAGGGTTTCCCGGGACGAAGTCAGGACGGAGCCCGCCCTGGGCAGGCAGCTGGGGTTTGTCTCCCGGTCTTCCTTTACTTCTCGGTGGGGTTTTGCTCCTGCAGGTGACGGCTCTCCCACATCCGGCTGCATCTGGCAGCCTAGCCGGTGTCAGGTGCTTGGCCTGTAGAACTCACTTCAATGAACACACCCAGCACGACTCCAGGTGGCCCGCGGCACCGAGATGGAAACAGTCAATTCTCGCTAATTGTATTCTCCGTTTCTGTGTGTGTGTGTATGGGGGGCGGGTAATGATCAAGTAGCAGGCACCACGTGCTTGTATCAGGGGGCAAGAGTTTTATTAGCAGGAGAGGAAGGAATAGGTCGCCGTGTCCCTAGAGTGTTTGGAGGGAGACACAGGGCAGGCAGTGCTGAGTAGGCATCAGCTGTTGTATTGTCGGGAGAGGCTGGGTGCCTTTGGGGGAGGGGGGCCTGGGGCCTTCGCTCCCCCGAGCCAGGCCCCCGGAGCCCGGAGCTGCACCCCCAGAATGCACTGTCCACTGTGGCATGTGTTTTCAAGCGACCGTTCGCTGCTCTGATCAGCTCATTTCGGTCAGTTTTAGTTTGCCTTAGTGTGGGCCTCATACGCATTTCTGTAAAATGTAATGTTTGCTGGAGCTCTGACACTTGACTCTTTCCTCGCGGCTTGTTTTCTGAGCGGGCGAGGTATCACGAGTTTCCGGGAAGCCCGGAATATGTTGCCTGTCCTCTGTCGGGGTCCCAGTGGGATGTGACATTTTGTGTCGTCTGCTGGCTGCGGAGGAATCCCAGTTTCCGGCTTGGGGGCCGGGTTCTCTCTCTCTCTCCGCTGGGATAGCGCAGGGTAGGGAGTGCAGCCCCACCCAGGTGGCTGACGAGGCAGAGGCAATGGACGGACTCGGGCGTGATACCTGCTTGCCTACTCGAAAGCCTCTGGAGCACCCACCGAACCTGGAGGGGGCTTTTCTCCTGAGGACATAACAAGAGGGACCACGGACCTGGCGCGCAGCATGCAGCACAGTGGCTGAGATGGGATGGATACCTGTACTGGCCAGGCCAGGTGTCATGCACGTCCCAGGCTGCAGGCTCACTCCTGGGCCACAAGGGGGCGCTGGTGGTCACAGCAACGTGTCAGAGCCTGGTCCTGACAGGTTATACAGACGCTTTACCTGCTGGTTCTCTGTCCACTGCCCTAGCCAGGGTCTCCTTTAGTGACTCAGAGCCTGTCTTCCCAACGGAAAACACCTCTTGCCTTGACTGGGAGGTTGTGGGGGGCTCATCTTACTTGCTGTGTTGCGTCGCGAGAGGCAGTGTGTTGGCAAAGGTGTGGCCGGCCGATTTGTTGCAAATTTGATAGCTGTGAGGCCCTGAACTTCAGCGGTGGTGCCGAGAAACGTGTGTGAAGCATGCACATGTGGTTCTGCAGGCATGTTTGTGTGTGTATATGCCCGTAAATACACATATGTGTACACAGTATGGAAAGAAAGAAGCAGAGTTTGGATTTGGAAATGGGTAAGAACATGAAAAGATCGTTAAGTCACTGCCATGTACTAAAGCAAGCCTTTTAAATTTTTTGCTAATACACTTCTGATTTTAATGCTTTTTAAAAAATATTTTATTTATTTATTTTTAGAGAGGAGAGAGAGAGAGAGAGAGAGAGAGAGAGAGAGAAACGTCAATGTGCGGTTGGTTGCGGGGGTCATGGCCTGCAACCCAGGCATGTACCCTGGCTGGAAATCGAACCTGCGATGCTTTGGTTTGCAGCCTGTGCTCAATCCACTGAGCTATGCCAGCCAGGGCTTTGATTTTAATGCTTTTATTAATATGTTGATTTGCAGCCCATCGTAGAAAGCCCTTTCCTGTTGTATATGGCAATTTTCTGAAATAAGCCACCAAAAAATACTATTGCAACGTGAAATAAATATTTCCGAATAGAGCTGTGTCCAAGATTTTTCACAAACATTGGTTTCTAAAGTGGTAAATGGTGGTTTTTGCCCCCAAATACACTTTGTTTGTCCATGTATGTGTATCTGTACCTAACATGGGTGCATCATGTGTTTTTACTTTTTAACGAGTATTTCTTCCTTTATTTTTAGGCAGGGGGAAGGGAAAGGGAGAGAGGGAGGGAAACATAAATGTGTGGTTACCTCTCATGCGCCCCCTACTGGGACCTGGACTGCAACCCAGGCATGTCCTGTGAGGGGGAATTGAACCAGTGACACTTCAGTTCGAAAGCTGGCTCTCAGTCTACTGAGGCACACCAGCCAGGGCGGGTGCGTGTGTTTTTAATACCTCACACCCAGTGGAAAGACATTCCAACGCACAGCCTGATGGTGCCCGGGGTGTGTTGGGACTCCAGAGCTTGTATTCGTGGGAGCAGGGGGCGGGGAGGGTGCCTGTGGGTTTAGTTCCTTGCAGTCCTGTTCGGGGCTCGGTTGCTCACGTTTCTTCGTTCTTCCGCCAGACAAGCAGATGCCCAGGGTCCAGAAGTCAGCCCAGCGGCACGCCGGGACGCGCGGCACCCGGCCCGGGGCTCTGAGCCGTCCCATGCCCAGGACGCCGCGGAGGCGCCCCACGAGGGCCGCAGCAGAGCGGGGACCCTCCCGTGTGACTACAGATACTCAGAGGACCACAGCCCTGCACACCCACTGCCGCCGCCGCCACCACTGGGCCCAGGATCCCAAACGCACGGCGGCCTCTCGGCCCCGCCCACTCGAGGGCCAGACCCCCGGCCTCTGAGCGCCAGGTCCCTCGCCAAGCGACCCACTCCGCAGAGGCCGCCGCCGCCCAAGCGCGAGCCGAGACAGTTCAGGGGACCCGCCGGTGCCATTCCCACGGGCGCACCTGCCGCCAATCACCTGGCAGCGCCTGGCAGGCCGGTCCCCACGCCGTCCCCTGAGGCCCTGGAGGTGTGTGCCGACCGCCCGGCGCTCCCCCGCAGCCCCCGCGCCTGGGCGGAGAAGCTGAGCGGCGCCCAGCACGCAGACGCCACCCCGAAGCTGGACGGGCATGTAGAGGAGCACCCAGCCTGCCCCCCGCGGGAAGCCCCGCTCCCCCCCAAGGCCCGCCCCCCGCAGACGCCCGGCATGGAGACCTCGCGCTCCCCTTCTCCTCAGTTCGCCCCCCAGAAGCTGACGGACAAACCTCCCCTGCTCATCCAGGACGACGGGTCCACCAGGTACTGCCCCCCGGGGCGGTGGGCCTTGCGCGTGCTTGCCCTTCCGCGAGCTGCCTTCCCACCGAGGGGGGTTTTCGGTGCGTGTTTGCAGGGCGGCCCCTGAGCGGAGCCTCGCATCGGCCCCAGACGCCGGGTCCCCAGGTGGTCCTGGGGACGAACAGGGCGGGAACCACGGCTCCCAGGGGTTGCAGCCTGCTGGGGAGCTGCCTCGCCCCCCACAGATGGGAAAGAGGGCGTGGACCCTCCCTTGCACCCTTCCTCCAAGCCTCTAACCTGTTCTGTCTGCGATATCTGCGGGCACCTCCACAGTTTTCTGTTTGTAACCAGAACCCGTTTTCACGAAATGGATGGCATGCCGTCCTCCCGTGCGCCTTTTCGTCTGGATCTTGTCGCGGGAGGAAGCTAGGCTGGCATGCGCCTCGTCTGGAAGCGGGAGGCACATTGCTTTCGTGCCCCGGTGCGGGTGCCGGAATTTCAGGCGCGCGGTTGTGGGCCGTGCCCGTGGGGACGCCGGTGCGTGCCCGGGGCGGGGCTGGGGCAGCCGGGACCGGCCGGCCAGTCAAGCGCTCTGACTGTGGGGGTGTTGGCCCCTCCCGTCTGCATGCCTTTGAAGAACTGAGGCCTGGAAGAAGCGGAGGGTTTCCGTCTGGTTCTGAAATGAGGGCGGGGGACGACTGGGGGTCGTCCCGGGGTTTCACTGGCCCCCGCGTGTTTGCCCCCCCCAGGCACCTTCTTGGGGCCTGTTTCTGGGTTGGGGTGCTTGGTCCTTTGGGCACAGTGGTTACTGTGGGTTACCTCGAGCCTCGTGTTTGAGTGAGTCCCCTGAGTGGGTTGTGGCGCGTACCCGAGTGGCGTGCAGGCTGACCGGCTGCGGGAGTGGCTGTGTGAGCGGCGCCGGATGGACTGCGATGCCAGGGGCTGGCCTGTTCGGGCGGCAGGTGACTTACCTGCAGGGGGCGCCCTATCTGACTTACCTGCAGGGGGCGCCCTATCTCACCTACCTGCAGGGGGCGCCCTGATTTACCTGCAGGGGGCGCCCTATCTGACTTACCTGCAGGGGGCGCTCTATCTGACTTACCTGCAGGGGGCGCCCTATCTGACTTACCTGCAGGGGTCGTCCTGAGGGCCGCCGAGTCCCATAGAGGTTGCGGCGCTGCGCTCCCCCGGTCCCTCTCGGCTAGGATGTGATGAGATCCGCTCCATGTTTTGCGCATTCCAAAGGGACCGTTTCTGAGACTCTTCGTGTGGAAGGGGGGACCGTTCTCAGTGCTCAGGCACGTCCAGGCGGAGAGGCTGTGTTGGGAAGTTAGCCCACCTGTGGCCGAGCTGGTGCCTTCTATATTGTACTTGTGCCTTTGTTGGAAATGACGTTTCTGCGCCCACGCGGGGAGCCGCGGGCTGCCTGAGGCGCCGGTTGCTGGTGGCCGGGGGCGGGAAGGGTGCAGTGAAAGGAGGAAAAAAGAGGGTTTCTTGTTTCTTGTCGCTTGCATAACAGGCCAGAATTTTCCCTTTAAACTTTAGCAGAGCGAAATGGTATTTTCTGCATAGTTAGCCTTTAAAATATTTTTTAATCCTCATGTAAGGATATGCTTATTGATTTTACAGAGAGAGGAAGGGGGGTGAGGGGGGAGAGAGAGAGAGGGAGGGAGGGGGAGAGAGAGAGAGAGAGAGAGAGAGAGAGAGAGAGAGACATCAGTCTGTTGTCTCCCACACGTACCTGCACCAGGGATCGAACCCGCAATCTTTGCACCCTAACTGGGAATTGAATCCGTCATCTTCTGGTGCGTGGGTCGGTGCCCCAGCCAACTCAGCCAGCTGAGCCACCCGGCCAGGACTGCGTAGTCAGGCTTTTAAATGTTGCTCAGGAAGGCGATGTGACAAGAATGGTGCATGAACCGCTATATTTATTAGACACGTCTGCTCTGCACAATTCCACTGGAGGGGAAGAGAACACACAGTTGTTCCACATCGACCTGCACGCCACAAGCTCATGAACGGGGGAAGATCCAGCCACCGGGTCAGGGGCGAGAACAGCCTTTAATTTGGGGCCTAGAGCGCCCCTTGGCGCCATAAAACTAGGTCTGCCAGGGTCTCGTTGCAGAAGTGAGGTTGAGCGCCCTGAATTAGAAATAAACTGGGAGTTGAGCTTGCGATTTTGCTTGTTTTTTTTTTTTTTCTTTCTTTCTTCCTGGGCACCACTAGAGGGCTCTCTTTCCCGATATGTCCTTAAAAAATGCTGGGAACGCGTTTTGTCCTGGTGGTGGTCCTCGGCGGGGGCCTCCAGGGGTATGGTCCAGTGAGTACAGGGGGGACACCACCAGCTGCCATTCGGGGTGTCCAGAACGCAGCCCCATCGTATTGGCCAGACTATGGCTTTCCATTTTCTTTCCTGTGGGTGCTCTGGGTGCCTCTCCAGCTTCCTCTACTGAGACCCTATTTTTTTTTTTAAAGGAGAAGTGGGGGAAGGGTGGCTCGGTTGGTTGGAGCATCCTCCCTTGCACCGAAAGGTTGCGGGTTCTATTCCCCTCGGGGCACATGACTAGGTTGTGGGTTTGATTCCTGGTTGGCAGACACTGGTGAGTATTTCTCTCTCCCTTTCTCTTTTTTCTTTCTCTCTCCTTCCTTCTCTCTCTTTCTCTCTCTCTGTCTTTTTCTCTCTCATTCCTTTTCTTTCTCTCTCTGTGTTTCTCTCTCTCTCTCATGCGCCCAAGCATTTTCTCCCTCCAAAATCAGTAAACATATCCTTGGATGAGGATTAAAAAAAAAAAAAGAAGAAGAAGGGGAAAGTGTGTGTACTTAGTGAATGGTTTCAGGTAATCCAGAAGCCGTGAGCCCCGGGTTTGCTGCGAGGCCGTTACCTCACCGGTATGACATGCTGTGCGCGCAGGGCGGCTTCAAGTGCTGGGTGGTGGCGCGTGGAATGCAGGTGGAGAGGGACCCCGCGCCCGCCTCTCCTCCTGGGTGGGCGTGCGGCCCCGGGCGCGCACTGGGCCTCCCAGCGGCTGCTCTTGTGCCGGCAGGATCGAGCGGCTGATAGACAACACCACGGTGAAGATGGTGCCCATCAAGATCGTGCACTCGGAGAGCCAGCCGGAGAAGGAGAGCCGCCAGGGCCTGGCGCGCGCCCCCGCCGAGCCGCCCGCGCTGCCCAGCGGGCTGGAGCGCGACCAGATCAAGACGTTGAGCACGTCGGAGCAGTCCTACTCGCGCTTCTGCCTGTACAGCCGCCCGGGCGCCGAGCCCGAGCCCTCGCGCCCCGCCGCCGCCGCCACCGCCCCAGCCCGCAGCGCCCGGCGGCCCCGACGGCCGCGCCTCCCCGCCCGCGCTCAGCTACGTGAAGGCCAGGGAGCGGACGGCGGAAGACCTGAAGTCGGAGGAGCTGGCCCGGGAGATCGTGGGGAAGGACAAGTCCCTGGCCGACATCCTGGACCCCGGCGTGAAGATGAAGACCACCAGGGACCTCATGGAGGGTATCTTCCCCAAGGACGAGCACCTCCTGGAGGAGGCTCAGCAGCGCAGGAAGCTGCTCCCCAAAGTCCCCTCGCCCAGGACCACGGAGGAGAAGTAAGTAGGGGCTACACTCCGCGCTGCCGGCACCTGTTAGGCTTAAGGAGGTCGGGGTAGGGGGCCTAGATGTTTATGTACTTTCTCAACTGCTTTGTGCGCGAGTGGGGGGGGACCTCTCAGGACCGCCCGATGCCTAGCCCACTTTGGCTATGTGTGACCCTCTGGAAAGAAAAGGTCAGGCATGTCGGAGATCTTCCTGAGCTTCATGACTTGGGGTCTGGCCCAGAAATGATACACACCTACCGTAGGTGCCGGGCCTTCTGGTGTGAGACCAGTGTGGTTTCCGCTGATGCCCGTAGGACTCGTTTGTTACAGCGCAGCCGTTCTTAGTGGGCGGTTGCGTCCCCGCAGGGCATGGGCAGCAATGTCCACATACAGTTTTCCCTGTCTCCAGCGGGACAGAGGCTCCTGGCGTCTCGGTGCGGGGGGTGGGGGAGACCCGGGATCCGGGGATGCTTGTAAACCTCCTGCGGCGCCCACCGCTGGCCCTGCCACAGAGCGCGCCGCCGCAGGGTCCCAGTGCGGAGGCTGGGGCGCCTGGCCCGGGAGGAGCGAAGGCGTGTCCGCGAGGAGACGTGTTGGTCAGAGAGCAGAGGCAGCCATGTGTGCACGGGGGAGTGAAAGAGCTAGCTTTCATGGGAGTTGGACACGCCTCCCTCGAGGACGCAGGCAGCCGTCTGCCTACAGAGGGGCACGTGAGCCCGCCTGTGCGTCGCTGATGCGCACTGGCTCCTTGGGGCGGCGCGCCAGAGTCCCAGCGCAGAGCTGCAGACGAGAAATAGGGCGGGGCAGGGACCAGAGCCACAGGGAGGCCATGTGGCCGCCGACAGGAGGGTGCACGGGGTGCATCTCTAATAGATGGTGTCTCTCATGCTATCCTCATGGGCCTCGGACGCTGCTGGGGAAAACCATCTGTCTGTCCCCTTCCCTTCCGTGGGCACATGTGTGCACACGCACCCTGGCTGTGATAGGCATCTCCCGCCTTTTAGAAACCACGTGCGTTAGGTTGTACGCCTATGCCCCTGGCCAGGTGTGTGCAGTCCCGATCTTGCCACCTGCCTGCTTCTCCCGCCCTGGCCGTGCCACCACCGCCCGTGTGGGCGTCCTTCCGCGGCCGCCCGGGTCCTCAGCGAACGGTCTCCGTGGACGGTCGCGGCTCACCGACCTTCCGCCGTCTGTCCCCCAGGAGAGAGGAGCCGAGCGTGCCGGCGGCCGCGTTCCTGGCCACCAATTCCACCTACTACAGCACGTCGGCCCCCAAGGCGGAGCTGCTGATTAAGATGAAGGATCTGCAGGAGCAGCAGGAGCCCGAGGAGGACTCGGGCAGCGACTTGGACCACGACCTGTCCGTGAAGAAGGTAGGGACGCGGGGCCCCCGAGGGGAGCGCGCTGGGAGGCAGGCCGGGGTGTGGGCTGGCGGGCGCCTGCACCGTGGGTCGGGGGCGCCCGAGTTGGTCTTTCGTGAACCGGAGCCACAGCTGAACGGTCGTAGTAAGCCCTTGTGGTTAGCCTGCCGTTCTGACTCGGATCCTTTCCACCTGGATCCCTTTGCTCTCCTTCGGCATTGAGATCCAGTGGCAGATTACCTAAGTGGGCCTTGGCGCACTTGGTGACGGTATCGTCCGGTAGACCAGAAGGTTGCGAGTTCGATTCCCGATCAGGGCATGTTGCCCAACTTGCAGGTTTGGTCCCTGGTTGGGGAGCGTACAAGGGGCAACGAATCGATGTTTCTCTGTGACATTCATGTCTCTCCGTCTCTCCCCCCCTCAAAAAAAAAGCAATGAAAAAATGTCCTGGGTGAGGATTTAAAAAAAAATATCAACTAAGGTGGCACCATTCTCTTTCATTTTATTTTTTTATTTTTTAAAGATTTTATTTATTTATTTTTAGAGAGAGAAGGGAGGGAGAAAGAAAGAGAGAGAGAGAGAGAGAAACATCAATGTGTGGTTGCTGGGGGCCGTGGCCTGCAACCCAGGCATGTACCCTGACTGGGAATCGAACCTGCGATGCTTTGGTTCACAGCCTGCACTCAATCCACTGAGCTACACCAGCCAGGGTGCTTGTCTAAGTTTTTAATTGCTAATTCTATGTAGAACATCCTTTTTAATCATGGGATTCAGTACTGGACGCACGTCTCATTTCCCTCTGTACACGTAAATCTTTAAATTGGGAATTCCCAGATTTCACATGGACCCTGAGAATTTCTGCAAAGATTCAGGTTGAAATGAGGTTTACCATGAGTAGCCCAGAGAGGTCAGCTTCTCTGTAATCTGATGTAACATCAAGAGGATGAAAAGAGGTTTATTTTATTTATTTTCTTGTAAAGACTTTATTTACTTATTTTAGAGAGGGTGGGAGGAAGGGGGAAAGAGAGGGAGAGAAACATCGACATGTGGTTGCCTCTTGCGCTCCCCGTACCGGGGACCTACCTGTCCCACAACCCAGGCATGTGCCCTGACTGGGAATCAGACTGGCGACCCTTTGGTTCACAGGTCGACCCTCAATCCACTGAGCCACACCAGCCAGGGCGGTTCATTTTATTTCTAAATTAAATGCAGTGATTTCACCGGGAGTCAGTATCCTTCCTCTGGTCTTATGCACCCTCTGTGGTTTGATGCTGCTGAAGCCCTTGTGTAGTTTGCCCGCTGCCGCCATAGCGGCCCTGTCGAGGGCTGGGGGCGGCAACCCTGATGCGTGTTTGCGTGCGCCCTGTGCCCCGCAGCAGGAGCTCATCGACAGCATCAGCCGCAAGCTGCAGGTGCTCCGGGAAGCGCGCGAGAGCCTGCTGGAGGACATCCAGGCCAACAACGCCCTCGGGGACGAGGTGGAGGCCATCGCCAAGGACGTCTGCAAGCCCAACGAGTTCGACAAGTTCCGGATGTTCATCGGGGACCTGGACAAGGTGGTGAACCTCCTGCTGTCCCTGTCGGGCCGCCTGGCCCGGGTGGAGAACGCCCTCAACAATTTGGACGACAGTACTTCTCCTGGGGATCGGGTACGTAGGACCGCCTCTGACCTGGAAATGGGGGGCTGGGGGGCTGGTGTGGGAAGGTTGTCCTTGGGCTGTTGTGTGAATGGCATGAAGCCTCACACAGCGGCCTGTCCACCTCGTAGTACGGGATGCTATTGAAAGGGAGTGGGCCCTCTCTTCCGGTCATAGGGGGTAACCTGGCCCTCCCGGTACTGGCTTCACTGCCCTCACCTCACGGCATCCCTCAGCAGAAGGGCCGGCATCCCTGTGGCTGTGTGCAGCTGCCTCGCCTCCCACCTTCCATTGTCACGTTGAGGTGCCCGTCGGTGGCCAGGTCTTCAGTGTGGCTGGTGTTGAACGATCCCCTCCATGTGGGTGGGCAGCTCAGGGTTTCCGAGACAGACAGGCCGATGAGTTGGGAGACACAGAGTGAGGTTTTAGAAGGCTTCCTCCATGTCTCCAGTAGACAAGGAACATGCAGACAGACCACGAGGTCCCCCCCATCATGTCTGCAGTGTCGGGTCATCAGGGAACTCAACCGATCTTAGCCTGAGCCGGATTTCTGGAATCTGTTATGACCTCCTTCCCTTCCGGCTTGGAGTTCATTGGTGTAGCCTCCCCTATCTCCAGCCAAGCTCACGGCACCTTGCTTTTGCAAGCACCTGAGTGCAGGTGTCCCCAGGGGCAGGTGGCACAGCCTGGCCCAGTGTGTGCTCAGGGGCTGCACACCTGGATCAGCTTCTGTGGCAGCTCTCGCTGTGTTGGCACGCTGCAGGGCACGCCCGCCTCCTGGACGCTGGCCCGTGGCCTTGGCCCACAGTCCTCTGCCCAGCTGCAAAGCAGTAGGGTAGCAGGGAGCGTGTGTGCCAGCCCAGTGAACATGAGGAAGTCCCACTGAGGAAAGAATTTCTGGCACGCTCCCCAACCCCCAGCCCCCGCTGACATTAGAGTTGTATTCCTGGCTTCCTTTGTCTGTGTTCGTGACCCTGGCTCAGGGGGGACCTAGGGAACCGATGCGCATGTTTTGTGGGTAGAGGGTGACCTCGAGTGCACCCTATTGGGAATGGGGTCGTCTATGTGCCCAGAGCGAGACCCTTGCGAGGAGAGAGGGAGCCTACCCCCCACAGCCCGTCGAGTCTCTCCTGCCCCACTCTCTGCTCCCGCCTACGCCTTGTCTGCAAGTCCGCCCCCAGGCCCCTCCTCCCAGGAGAGTTTAGAAACACTGCCTGAGAATTTCTGTGTTTTGTGTTTTTTTTAAAGATTTTATTTATTTTATTTTTTAGAGCGAGGGGAAGGGAGGGAGAAAGAGAGGGAGAGAAACATCAACGTGTGGTCAGCTCTCGCAGGCCTCTAAACCAGGGACCCAGCCCACAACCCCAGGCACGTGCACTGACTGGGAATAGAACCTGCGACCCTTTGGTTCGCAGGCCGCCGCTCAATCCATTGATTGAGTCACACCAGCCAGGACCAAATTCTGTGGTTTCTAGTGTCTTGATCACTCTTGGGCTGGTTGGGGCTATTTGTGGTAGCCGCTGGGGGCAGGTAGGCGCGGTCCGAGAGCGCTGGGTGGATGGGGGGTGGGTGTGAGGACTGGACGGGGCAGCCCGCCGTGGCCGCGTGTCCACTCTGCGCAAATTCCCAGAGATCTGTGCGTAGCCCTGGTCCCAGAGCCCCTGGTGTTTCGGGGGCGTTGGCCACAGCCCTCTCCCTGCCTCCACCGCGGTCCTTCACAGCCGCGTCTCTCCCTCTGCCCGCAGCAATCGCTGCTCGAGAAGCAGCGGGTCCTCGTCCAGCAGCACGAGGACGCCAAGGAGCTGAAGGAGAACCTGGACCGCCGCGAGCGCCTGGTGTGCGACATCCTGGCCAGCTACCTGAGCGACGAGAGCCTGGCGGACTACGAGTACTTTGTGAAGATGAAGTCGGCCCTCATCATCGAGCAGCGGGAGCTGGAGGACAAGATCCACCTGGGCGAGGAGCAGCTCAGGTGCTTGGTGGACAGCCTCCAGCCCGACAGGGGCAAGTGACCGGGTCCTCGCCGGCGGGGCGTGGACGCACGGGGCCTGGGCACTGCGGTCCCCGGGCTGCGAGCGGAAGCACGGCCTGTGTGTATGCCCCGCGGCCAGAACTCTCCCTGCCGTGGCGAGGGGGCCCTGGGGAAAGCAGGAACTCCCGCGTGTGTTTGGGACGATTTATGGAAGCTGTTGGCTTCCCTTTAGAGCACGGGGCCCGGTGGCTGCCAGTCGGCCGTTCTCCTTCCCAAGGAACCAGACGTGGCGCTTAGTCTGCGGTCCGTGGCGGTCTCTGCCCTGCGTCCTTGGGCTCCGGGCCTGTGGTGCAGGCGGGGCTCGTGCGTGGCGGCCAGTGGGTCCTGCCTCCCCCGCCTTCGCTGCTGGACCAGCCTCCTGGGAAGCAACGGACGGCGTGTGCGGGGCGCACGGCAGGGGACCCCTGGTCCACGTCCTCTCGTGGGACTCCTCCCGGCCACGGGCCTCCCTCTCTTTCGTCCACGTTTGTCCCACGGCGTTAGTGTTCCTTGTCTCTCTCATGTAACGACGTGCCCTGACCTAGCAAAGCCCGTGATGATGATAATTTATTAACATTTTGTAAAGGTGACTACTTCGCCAGTGGTTCAAAACCAACTGTGAAACGCGTAAGCCGCACGTCGGGTGCCCTCACGCTACACCCGCAGCACAGATGGTGAGCGTGCCGCTAACCCTTCGCCCGCCTGCCCTGGCGGCACGGGGCGGGGGCTGCCCTGCGGCGTGCAGCGGCGCGGTGACGTGTGTGTCTGGTCGTCTCGTGCTCGCTCGATGTTTGTCTCATGAGCCCAACAGGATGTTCCTTAAGTTCCTTTCCCCCCAGAACAGTTGTTTTGTGTGTGTACGGTCCCATTCGTGGTGATCGGCTACTTGCCTGTGTTTCCCTCTTTAAATTGACCAGCACGGCCGTGAAGGCTGCGATCCGTTTCCTGGAAGAATCCAGCCTCCGGTGTTTCAGAGGTCCCATCGCCAGTATAAACCTGCCATCGAGTTCACAGACTCTGCCCCGCTTATGGATGGAAACGGCAAGATTCTGAAGAGAGTCTATTCACTTAAAACAAAACAAAACAAAACACACCATCGTGCTGTCCATTTCTAGTTGACAAGTCACAGACTGGGAGGAAATATTGGCATGTCACGCGTGTGACAAGGGAATTGTCTCCAGAATACGTAAAGGACTGAACAAAAAAATCTGCCATCAGAGAAAAACAGCCCCTGTTGAAACGCGGGCCGGAGATTGCACCAAAGAGGACCAGCGTGGCACATACATGCGCACAGTGGAAGGCTGGGGAACCGCCACCGGCCTGGTTGGGGGCTCCTGACGTCTCCCTAAATCGTCGTAGGGCTGTGCCTGTCTCCACGGATGCCCACCTGACCACAGGCGTGGTTGATGGCGGGGGATCCCTTGGATGAGTTCACGTGAAGGTAACATCTGGACACTTGTTTGACGGAGGGATCGTTGTCTTACCCGATGCCCCTTATTGCCATGAAAGACGTTTTCCAGCAAGTGCAGAGGAGACATCTCTTTGTCGGGGGGCGGGGACCGCCGCCTTATCAAAACGCACCCACGCAGAAATGTCTCAGGACATGTGTCCATCCTTCAGGAGCCAGAGCGGGGGAGCCGGACTCCCGTGCCCACGTCCTTGAGCCGAACGGAGGGGTCCCAACGGGCACGCCCCGCTAACGCAGGCAATAAGCCTCTCTCTGGCAACCCACCCACCCCGGAAAGACAGAGGCCTTTCTGGACGTCTTCATGCCCACCGGGGGAAGCTCTGTGGCTTGAGCAATCCGCCAACGAAGTGTCCTCCTTCGCGCCCGGCCGCGAGCTCCGGAGACCGGAAGGTCCAGCTGCCTGTTGGCGGACCTCCCCCCGTCTCCCTGCCCGGGGGGGCCGCCACCCTCCTTTCCGTGTGTGTTTGCTTTTTCCTTTAGACCCGAGGTTTCGTCTGTGATGCCTCCCCCTCAGATACCGTCTTGTGCTGGTGTCGATGCCCTGTCCAGTGTGGAGAACAGAGTCTGTGTGTCCGTACCCTGCCTTCGATGTGTCCCGAGCACTTTCTCATACGTGGCCACATGCAGTGCTGTTCCCCTGTTTGCCTGTTCCGTGTCTGGGGAGTGGGGTGGGGGGACCCAAAGATTCCGGCGAGTCGATGTATATACGTGATGTTGTATATAGTTCCATGATTGCCTAGAGAACCTGTCTGGTGCTACTGTTTGCCCTGGGCATTCCTGGAGGGGCGGGGGGCTGCCTCCTGAGCCCGTGGCGTCGCTCCGCTGCGGCACGCCCCGACTCCGGGCAGCCCCCCGTGCCCGCGGCTCACTGCGGAAACTGTGTGCAGGTGTCGCGCCCGACACTTACCTCTCTCTACACACCGTCCTGCTTGACTTTCACGAAATAAATAGTGTCTCCGAGTGCACAGCGTGTGTCTCTGATTCACCGACGTGAGGATGTCGGCTTGTGCAAACATTGACAGGGTCCTCCGCATCGGTCGGATTCCAAAACCATCGAATCACTGGGGGATGGGGTGACGCGTGTGTGGCTGCTGATGCCACTGCGTTGGCTGTCCAGAAACACCAGGGACAGGGGTGACGTGGGTTAGCTGTTGCCCCAGGAACGCTGCATGACTAGCAGCTGGGAAACACCCACTGTGTCCAGGGCGAAGCAGTTCTGAGCTCACGGGCGTGTAGATCAGCAGGCTCCGGCCCTTCAGTGCCTGTCACCTTACTCCTGGCCAGGGCATGTCAGGTGGCAGGTACGGGCAGAAATGAGACCAGAGACAAAGGTGCCTTTCACATCTCTGCTCCCTGCGCACCTGCTGAGCTTCCCTTGAAGAAGCACGTCCCACAGCCAAACCCGAGGCCCAAGCGGGGCGGGGCGGATGAACTCCTTCCGTGCGAGGAACCGTTCAGTCCCCTGGCCAAGGGCAGCTACAGGGAAGGATTGGGGCCGCCCACAGACTCCACCCCCTACACCAGGGCCTGCTCGTGCAGAGTGGCGGTAACAGACCCTGACCCGCAACCCAAGCTCCTGGAGCAGAGCCCCTCTGCCTCTGTCCTTCTTGGCTTAGCCTCGCCGAGCCTCAGTTTCCCCCTTTGTGTTTGGAGAAGAGCTACTGTGAGGTCGTGCACACGTGCTTAGAACCCAGGCCAGCATGTTTAAGCCTCTATGCTTGTCACGGAGCATGTCTCGGGGACCCGAAGCTTAGACCGTGGAGAGGCAACTGGAATCTGCGGATCGGAAAGTCAACACTCATGCTTTTGCTGGTGTTCGTTTATCTTCCTTAAATGTACGTGTAGCTCCCATACATTTCCGTATTTCATGTAGGAGTATTTGGGCTTTCTTTTGAAGTCTGGTGGTGTTTTTGTGACCAGAACTGTGTCGTCAGAGCTGCTGTTTATATCCAGTAGCTGACGACTAGTGGAATGGGTTTCGTCAGATGCCGTTTTGCCTAGAGTCGCCATTTCTGAGAACCTGTCGACAGTGTGAGGTAAGGACTCACTGTATCTCTTTCCGAGGGACTTTCAGAGCGTGGTACGGTTGCCAGGTAAGGCTGCAATGAAGAACCCCATCTGCTCTGGCCGGTGGGCTCAGCCGGTTGGAGCGTCGTCCCGTAAACCAAAAAGTTGTGGGTTCAATTCCTGCTCAGAATGCTTGCCTGGGTTGTGCGGGTTCTGTCCGCAGTTGGGGTGGGTACGGGAGCCAACCAGTGGAGGTTTCTCTCGCACATCCACATTGATGTTTCCCTCTCTTCATTTCCCTCCCCCCCACCACCACCTCTAAACTCAGTCAGCATGTCCTTGGGTGAGGACTCTATTTTAAATGTTCACTTGGGGTATCCCAGGCACATGGGAGCCTCAGTTGCATCCACCCTGCATTTACAAGATTAATACCTCAAGTGCCAGTATACCTTTTTTTTTTTTAAGATTTTTATTTACTTTTTTAGAGAAGGGAGGGAGAAAGAGAGACAGAAACATCCATGTGCGGTTGCTGGGGGCTGTGGCCTGCAACCTAGGCCTGTGCCCTGACTGGGAATCAAACCTGCGATGCTTTGGTTCGCAGCCCGCGCTCAACCCACTGAGCTACGCCAGCCAGGGAACTGCCAGCATATCTTGACAGACACGGTTCTGAGGATGGCAAGTTCATGGCCTTTACACATATTCTTGTGTAGATGTCTATCCAAATAAGCTTTGGGCATGCTAGAACACACACACACACACACACACACACGTGTGCCTGTGTGTCCAGAGCTAACAATATATTTTACCCATATGTGTGTGCCAGGCTACCAACTGAGCATTTCAGATACTCCGAGGAGCCGCCTACCAGTGACGGCACAGCCAGCATTAGACGGCAGGCCTCTGGCTGCAACCTCTCCCACATCTGTCTCCCCAGCAGCCCCGCCTTCCCCACGGCCAGCTGCGCCAGCTGCACCACCTGCGCCAGCTGCATTGTGCTGGCAGCCCCAGGGCAGCACTAGCATCCGGCTGCTCGGAGGAATGACGTCTTTCAGGTCCCTTGTGGGTGCTGTCCCATGCCACCCCTGCGGTGGCCCTTTTCGCTCCTGTGAGGTGAGGACACTGAGACCCCTCAGAGGTGCAGTGCCCGGGACCTGGTGATGCCTCATGGACCTGCTTCCCCCATCCCTGTTTTCTCTCTCTCCATCGCATTCTATTCTTCCTCCCTCACTGTCCCCCCCGCCTTTTTTTTTAAAGAAACAGGATTATATGATCCATCTTTCTTTTTCTTTTTAAAAAATATTTTATTTATTTATTTATTTATTTATTTTTAGAGAGGGAAGGGAAGGAGAAAGAGAGAGAGAGAAACATCAATGTGTGGTTGCTGGGGGCCATGGCCTGCAACCCAGGCATGTGCCCTGACTGGGAATCGAACCTGCAACACTTGATCCCATCTTTCTGAAAAAGATTTTATTTTTTTGGAGTGGGGAAGGGGAGGAGAAAGAGGGAGAAAAACATCAATGTGTGGTTGCCTCTAGTGCACCCCCTACTGGGGACCTGGCCTGAAATCCCCCCTCCCCCATGTGCTCTGACTGGGATTTGAACCGGCAACCCTGTGGTTCACAGGGTGGCGTTCAGTCCGCTGAGCTACACCACTCAGGGCTGATCTTGTAGTTTTGGAACCTGCTTCTTACTAACACTGTTAGAAACTTTCCCCCAAATTATTCTTCAACACATCGTCGAACTCTCCTGTGTAATATGTCATTATAAAGACATAAAGTGGTTTACTACGTGTTCTCTAAGTGGGGTTTTTAGGATTCCTTTTCTGTTTGCCCCCATTGTAACCCCAGGAAGTTCATTAGGTGTGTTTTTCACGTACATCTTTGTACCCCTCTCTGTTGGCTTGCTTAGAAAAATACCCAGATCATAGAAAGTGTAAGCAGGAAATTCCAGGGGAGCTTGAACCCCCATATCAAATTTAGTCCTCAGCACTGAGTGGTGTGGCTCAGTGGATTGAGTGCTGGCCTGCAAACCCAAGGGTCACAGGTTGGATTTCAGTCAGGGCACATGCCTGGGTTGAGGACCAGGTCCCCAGTAGGGGGCACATGAGAGCAACCACACACTGATGTTTTCCTCCTCCTGTTTCTCCCTCCCTTCCCCTCTCTCTAAAAATAAATATTAAAAAAATAATAATAAAACAAGATACAGCCCTGGCTGGTGTGGCCCAGTGGACTGAGCACCGGCCTGCAAACCCAAGGGTCGCTGGTTCGATTCCCACTCAGGGCACATGCCTGGGTTGTGGGCCAGGTGCCAGTAGGGGGCGCATGAGGCACACGATGTTTCTTTCTCCCTCCCTTCCCTCTAACAATAAATAAAGTTATTAAAAAATAAATTTTTTTGTGTCTGTTTGGCAGCCTCATTTCTTATATTTAAACACACACACAAAACCATCCGCCGCTATCCCCAGGCTTATCCGGCCAGTTCCCCACGGTGCGGAGTCACCTGACACATCCCCTCCCGCCCTGCTCCCGCGCGGACCGGGTTCCAAGAACGCGGTGATCCAAGACCCGAGCCGCGGGTCCTGTCCCACGCCTGAAGGGCGCCTCTCCTTCTGTGTTCCCCGTCCCTGGCGTTTCCTCACTTGACCCTCACCCAATTGGTGGCCACTTCCACCAACACCTGCACAGGTACGTTCTCATTGTGCTTCTCAAGCAGGGGATCTGTTGGGGACCATTGCTGGGGGGGGCAGGAGAGCATGATGAGAAGCCGCGGCTCAGGTCAAGCACACCCTGAAAGGACTCTGATGGGTCCTTGCTGAGCCCCACCCACCCCACACCCCCCCACCCCCGCCCTGGAAAGTGGGCAGACCCAGCAGGGACACACTGATGAAAACCAGCCGAGGCTGTGGTCATCGAGCGCAGTGGCAGAGGTCATGGTGGGTGCGGCCTAGCAACTGAGAACCTTGACGGTGGGGTGGAACGCGGTAACGGGCCGGAAGCCCGCGGCGTGGCGGAGAATCCGGCCTGCCCACAGCCGGGAGCCCGCTCGCAGGACCTCCCAGAGACGCAGGGTGGGCCCACCCACACCCACACCCACACCCACACCCACACCCACACCCACACCCACCCCCACCCCCCTCTGGGGGCTCTGCGCAGACGCCCGCGCGCCGGGGAGACGCCGCGCCGGTCAGTGGAGCCCCGCCTCCTTTGCTGTGTGTGTCCCTGTCGTGGGAAAGTCGAGGTAACAAACGTGTGCCCTATCCCCTTCAGGTTTGTGAAGGGTACGGTTCACGGTCACTCGGGCCCTGCCGTCATCTCCGGAACTTGCTCACCCTCCCCCGCGGGCTGGAACTCTGTCCCCACTGGACGCCAGCTCCCCGGCCCCCCTCCCCAGCCCATGGCAACCGCGGTCGCTTCCAGCGGATGGCTTTGGCCTAGGTGCCTCCTAATAAGTGGCATGAGACTGTATTCGTCTCTGTGTTACTGCCTGGTTTCACTGGGCAGACTCACCTTCATGGTCTACCCGTGCCAGAGCGTGTACAAAAATTCCCTTCCTTTTCATGGCCGAGGACTCTTCCCCCCGGGTAAACAGACCACATTTTCTGTCTCCAAATATCCGTGGGTGGACACGGGGCTCGCTACCGCCTCTTGGCTACTGTGAATAATGCTGCCTTGAACACGGGCGTGCGAGGGGCTGTGTGAGTCCCTACTTTGGTCTCTTGGGGGTATGTATCCAGAAGTGGGGTGGCCGGATCTGGGGATAATTCCACGAGTTTTGGGGCCCTCTCTTGTGCTTTCTTGGTCCTCCTTTATTGTATTTTGAGCCCCTGGCCACACACTGCTTGTTTCACTCACTCTTGATGGTTACCGGCTGCGTCTGGGTGTTGTTTACATTTTGATTCCCGTCGGTGGGTCCCTTGGGGCACAGACTCAAGCAGCAGAAGGTGAGCGTGCCCAC